GCCGAGCTGTAAATTTACCTTTGATTCATTTTTTTATTGCTCAATGAAATGTGTTTTTGCCACTGATTTAAATTTGGATCAACTATAAATGAAGCCCAAATACAGAACTATCATGGCTTAGCTAAAACAATCTTTTATGGTAGCCCAATACAGTTTTCAATGTCAAATCGTAGAACGCAGAATTTGCCATGCGGCTGCTGCTGACGCGTTCAGAGAGCTTTATGGATGATGTTTGTGTACGGGAAGAGGGGCGCGGCACGGCAAAGTTCGGCATGCGTGTGCGTACACTCGGCAGGCGCCTCACTTCGGCTTTGATGGGCTGCGGTTCGGGTCGCATGCTCGGCTTGCCGAGCTACGCACACGCACCGTACGCAATCGCGTTGCGTGGGCCTTTTATTTAGCGCGTGCTCTCATCGTCCGGTTGCTCCACCTCTCTCTCGCTCGCTCGCTCGCCTGTGCTACTCCCATGCTTCCTGCTCGCTCGTTCAATCATCTGCTAGAACTTTGCTAATTTCGTCTAATCAGTTAACCTTGAAATTTTGTTGCTGTTGTTGCTTTCGTTCCCGGTATTTGTTCTTGCTTCGAAATACATACAAACAAACACACATATATACATTCATACATACATACGTGCACACAAGCGTTTCGCATGGCTCTGTAACTGTATTTGTATTTTTATTTGTGTCGTGGAATTTGCGCGCGTTGTGTGTATTAATTTATTTGAGGCTCGTTTGATTTCAAGGTGAAATACGCAAAAATAAAAGAAATATAAGAATCGACGAGCTTATATAATATATATAGCGCAGGAAATTTGAAATGAAATAAGTATGCTTCAGTCGATAGCGCCCGATCGGATTATAGTATTTGGCAGCAAATTTGCGCTTTCTTTCAATTATCACCATTTCTCATCGTCTATAATGCTAGATATTACGAATTCTAGACATTACTTATACGCCCTTTTTGCCTAGTATCTTTAATTTATGCTTTACAAAACTATCGGACAAATATCGTTTAACAATTTCTAGACTATTTTCTACTGACATTCATGATTTTTTATTGTTCGTGGTTATTTTTAACTACATTCTGGTATACACTTTATATATTACTCATACGACACATTGCGCTGCTTGTAAATATATCTCAATATCAATGTATCTACCATAGTTGTCTTATTGACAATTTCTGCAATTCTAATTTATCGTTAAAAAAAAAACATCAATCATCAATTTTCTGCTGTTGGTTTCGAATATATTACTAATACGCATCCATATCATTGATCGTTTCTTGTTTCGTATATCGTTTATCGGTTATTATCGAATTATTTTCTATGCATTTTACTATATATTTTATTGTTTTTTCTTAAATTTTTTTACCTATGCGCCACTTATATTACTCATACGCCACATTGCACAATTTGCCAATTTGGCACGCCTCCTTATCAATGCATGCATCTCACTCTAGGCTTCCATCGATCTCTGTCTGCCTCAGCCTCGACATTGACTTTGAAGATAACAAATTTGTCCCTCCCACTTCTCCCCCCGTTTCGCAGAGATCATGCTCATTATTTAAAATTAGAATATGTATCTATATATATATATTTGTAGGCATATACAATATGTCTGCGTTCAAATACCCCCTGCCGCTTGCCTAACCAGGCTGGGTCTGGGCGCTATCTAACCGACTGTTATCTACACGAGGCACTCCCGCTCGCCGCTTAAGCCCCTCTATCTTCATCTCCTTCTCTCTCGCTCGAGCGCGCCTCGCGCTTTTTTTTATTATTTCGGCAAATTCATTTTGCGACACTTATCGCTCAAGGTCACGGGCAAAATTCCAAAAAGCACATACAGGCGACGACATTGAAAATTATCGCCAACCGAGAAGAAGAAGCAGAAGAAGTCCCATTAATGTTAGAGCAAATATGACACATTCTGAAAAAGAAATAATCTTGATACACTTTGCCTTCTCCAGTGAATTGAAATAAAACAAAAAGTTTGGTATTTTTTTTGTAATTTTTGTTGATATATTTTAAATACTTATTTTCATATTTTATTCACATATTCCATTCTGGTTTTTTAATTTTTATTTAAAAACAAACTGCAATATTATTTTATTTCACAAATACAAATTTTTTTGGATTTTTTTTTTGTCTTTTTTTTCGTCTTCTGTGGAGTTTCCAGCTGGAGCTCTATTTAAATACCATAATTTGTGTGTTTCTTGTTGTTGTTGCTGTCTTTTAAAATTTGTCATTGGCTCAATTCACAATTCATAATTGTTATTGTGACTGATGAAAATATATATATATGTACTATGCAAGTATATTTGTCTGTACATATATGTATATACTCGATCTGTATATATATATTTAGATTATTTTATACGCCTGTTCAGTTGGAATGCAGCTCAATTATGTTGGCTGTCTTTATTCTTTATGTAATTTTATGTTTAACATTTAAATCTGTTGTTAATTATACGCTTAATTGTCGCAATTTCATTGTTTCAGTTTGTCGCTGCATTCTGCTTCTGCTTCTGCTCCTATCTTTATACCTAAAGATAGACACACACACACACACAGCTATACTAAGTGAGTGTATGCGTGTGTGAGTTTTTAATTACATAAAATATTCAGTTTTTAATACAATTTTCATTTTTATCTTTTTTTTTTTTTTGCTAAAATTTACGGACACTTTTACAGACACACATACATACATACACACACACAAGCAAAAAATTTTTTCACACATAGCTATGTACATATATGTATGTATGTATGCATGCTTATATATTYATATATTTTTATTGAAGTGTGATATTTTATTTTAATGTTTGTTGGTTTCCTTCCAACCTCCTCATAATAATATTTGACAATGCTGCTTCTTCTTCTTCGTCTTCAGCTTCTTCCTCCACTTCTTCATGCATAAATTTTAAAAGAATATATTTGTATTATATATATAGTAAATATATATATGTGTGTATGTATATGTATATGTATATGTATGTGTATGTATTTTAAGTTTCATAATTTTATGCTTATTGTATTCCATTTTTCTCAATCAACATCAATTGAAATTAGAAAATAAAATCTTTTCTTTTCAATTTTTTTTTTTTTTTAAATATACAT